GGGTTTTCTTCCAAGCGCTTGCTCGTTGAACGCAGCACGTGACGTCACAAAACAGGGCGGGACTACACGCTGCAGCAACAGGTTGCGGGCAGGCAGCGGCACTTTGATGTTAATGGAGCAGKCGGTTTTAAGAAAACAACCAGAGGAGAGACAACGGAGGTAGAAACGTTTTCAGGAGCATAATGAAGAATGTGAAAGGCTCTCTTGTTGTCTGAAAAAGAAAAGAAAAGAAACAAACAAAAAAAAAAGCCGTAATAAAAATAAATAAGAATAAAAAGAAGAATAAGCTCTTTGTGACTTCCCGACAGCAGCACGTGAACACTTCAAAGTTAAAGAGTGAAGCGGAACTGCACGCGTCAGAGAACCAGCACCGTGGTGCTGGCTGGACCGTGGTGTTGTCGCGGTCCCACCAGGAGGCGGGACTGTGGCTCCGCGGTGTGATTAGCGAGCCGCACAGCTGGAACGTGAGTTGGGGGGTGCACGCGCTCCAGCTGCTGAAAACAACTCACTCCCACTCCTGACGTGCAATCATAGCAGCTGAGCGCCCGCGTGCTGGAGCCGCAGCGACARCACTCCAAGTCGGAGGGCTCGCAGCGGAGCTCCTCGGGTCGGTCCCGGTGGGTTCGGACGCAGAGCAGCTGCTGATGTAACGCTCGTCTCTGAGCTCACTCCTCTGTTTCACCACTGCTGCTCGAGCAGCATGGGGTTGTCCAAACTCTGAAGGTAAGAACAGGGCATTTTCCTGTTGCTTCATTCGTTGGTTTTGTTMTTTTTAACCTCTTAGCTAACTCTCTTACATCAGGGCTTTATTTAATGCCTTGCAACATAAAAAAAAAACAGGTCTTAACTTGTCAAGTTGCAGCAGCAGTTCGGTGTTTGTGGTGAACTGTGGAGGGATTAGATGAATGTAGTTGTTGCACAGAGTCAGTGAGGTGCTCCTCAACAACCTGCAGCTCTGCACAGGAACGGCTCTCTGCAGAGGMTCAGCTGAACACTCATGGTGAGCTGAATCACCCACCATCTGTCATTCATAACTTTTACACTGATCTGATGTTGACAAGGGGCTGAGATGTTGCTGTTTTGSTAAACCGTTAAAAAATATGGTTATAGGATGCCGTTCTCAGAGTACGTTTTGTGAACGACTCTCAGCTACTACCGCGTTAAATTTTATCACTACATCTGTAAAAACGACTGAATTATAACCTTTTATGTGTTGCACTAATAGCAGATTAGCTGTGGCAGACTTTARTTGCTTGTAGCTATTCATGCAATGAAGGTTTCATTAAAACCTACTCACTGGTTCATGATTGCYGTAGATGTGCCTCCAATGGTTACTTTCTGAGAATCCATCCTGTGGTTGGTCAGATATTTCTCAGACAGGAAAAAAAAAAAGGATGGCAAAAATAACTATCGAGCTTTTGAGCAAAAGTCTTGTGCACTGTGCAATGCTCAGGTTGTGAATAATACAGTATTTGTAGAATTGACATTTTTAAAATTGATTTTTAAAACTTTTTTTGCCCTTTTTGTGTTTTCTAAGGTTGGTTGGTTGTGGTGACCATCTTGGATTGAGTTGAACTCAAAAGTGAAATTAAAGCTGCAGTCTGTAAC